ACGCTTATCCTGTCCTATAGAATTATATAGCATCAACCCATCATGACATATGAAATAAACTAAATGAAAACAGGCGCTTGTCGCCTTTTTCATCAAAACAAGGAAATAATATATGAAGAGGCTGTATGGTGAATCCTTTGCCTTCGCAAATAAATGGATGATAATTTATAAAACCAAAGAAACCAGTTTTTTCGCTCTAAGGCATAGATGAATATACCTCTCTCTAAGGCTTCAAAATGGCCACCATAAAGATACAACGATTTCCCTCGAAAATATGTCAGAAAATTAAATTAGAGAAGAAAAATTACAATCGAAGATCTGGCAGTGTGGCCAATTAGACGCCTTACTCTGTCCCGAACGACGAAAAATTTTACAACTACTTTTTCGGATCTAAATCTCGTATGACTGGACTGTGAACCTGACACCTTTAAAGTGCCCGAAACATTGGTTTATATGTAATGATTTGGAAAAAAAACATGCGCGATCTAGATCCGGAAAAAATAATGACTTCCAATGAAAATCTAAGAACTTGATATGTTTGATTTGAGTCAGTGTCATCTCCTGGTTTGTTTACTCAAATTACTTCCACATAATAAATAACCACATCACAAATGTAATGCTTAGTTGTAAGTGAAATTGTGAAAAGTAAATAAACGTATAACTGCAAGCGTATAACATAAACATCATGGACGTACATATCATTGTTTCCTTAGCATCTAGCAATATTGTACAAGCAATGTTGAGGTCAGATATATACAATACAATAGATTTCCAAACAAAATTACGCAAATGTCACAAAGAGAAATTTCTATAAAACGTCTCCGTCACTCGTCTGGAAGTTATTGTGAAATATCGTGGACGTACAACAAATTTCCTCAATCAATATTTGAAACCTTATTGACACCGTATTTCGTAAGCGTAAAAAAAAAATCGATTGACGCGATATTTATTATCTCTGATCATATAAGAATGCACCTCATTGACAGCAATTGGTGATGGTTCTTAAAAGAGAAAGGTGGCCTAAGGCGTTAAAGCACGTTTCGTTTCCAAAATAAGTACGATGGACCTAATTATTCCTTCTATACAATGACTTTTTTACCATTGCAAGGGCTACTGTATTTCTTTCTTAACCAATCGGGATTTGTACTTTCTTAGCTAGATGAAATTTGAGCTCTAAGAGTATATTCCTAGTGAACTTTAAGAAAATGTCTCTTTGTGTGTTATAGTGTAGACTACACACAGTCATGAAAGTTAAAAAATTCATCATTGTCATTTTGTCTAAAACGCGTACATAAATTTTCTTATTAATGATCGATTGATCTAGAACAAAAACCACGTTTGCACGGGCCAAAGTAAATTTAATTGCTTGTCAGTTGGTACGGCCCAGCAGTTTGTCGTGCCTGATTGCAGGTTCGTGGATTTTTTTTTTATTTTGCGTAGTAATTTACGCCTGTACAAAGCAAACAGCGTTTCGTAAAACTTTCGATTCGACGTCGAATGTTCGATTTTAGTTGGCAGAGTCAACAATAGATATTTTTAAACGCACGTTTTAAATCAAATAAATAAATTTCAATTCGTAAGCTCAAGTGGATTTAAATGAACTAAGATATCGTTTCCTCTTGACGATCTCATTGACACAGCGCTGAGAATTGTGGGCACTTGATGAGGGGGTCATGGATTCGATTCCCGGAAAGATCGATTTAGGAAATTTATTTTTCTAAATTGGTTCTGATCTGGATGTTGTGGGTAGTGCATCCGAAATTAATTTCGTTGCTCTGGTACTTGATACTCGTAGGACATTCCCTAGTTTGAGAACAGTCTTGTGAATATAACAATTTATTCAAAAATGACAAAGAAATATTCTAAGTTCTAAAGACAATTGTTAATAATTTGTCGAAGAACGATGTTCAGTATCAATCAATGTTCAATAGCAGTCTATAATCATCTATAAGTACAAAACTTGAATATAGTAAAAAAAAATCCGTTATGAGGAGTACATAATTTACATTTACATTGAACACGCTACCGATTAACGCCAAATTTTTTACAGTATGTGAAATATAACATGATGAAAATTTACTAAAAAAGAGCCATATTACAACATGTGAAACCGACCATTTGTCAGCATTGGTTAACCGCGTTACTTGCATCATATTACACTAGTACGCTCTGTGTGAAACATCAACTAACTACCGCTTGCTTAACATCTGTCAGAAGTGACCGTAAGAGCATGGTTTATTGTGGTTGGCTTTTTATTATACCAAGTTCGTTCCGTCACTTGATATTATAAAAAAGGGGCACCGCCACAGCGCCCGTCACCCTGAAACATGAGTTGACAAGTCCCATATACCTGTAATTTCACCAGCACCCCTACCCTTCAAAGCCGGAACGCAGTAATGCTCATATATAAGATAGGTATAGTGGCAGTACTTCCCCGGTCGAACTCTTTGACAAGGAGCTCTACTACTGCTACTTGTTGAACCTATCTCTTTACCTTTAATTCTAATATTTAGACACGTGCGGTATCCTAGAGTGACCGTTAGAATTTACATTGCAAAACCAATTTACATTGTACAACGGAATATAAGCGAAACTTTATAACGAAATTCTACATACCCACATATCTAGATTGTACGTTTCATATTGTCATAAAGTTCATTATGCTATCTATGGTAGCGGCAATGTAAATTGAACCTCACAAACCTACTATTGAAGTAGGTACTTCAATAGTAGTTTTTGTCAGGAAAGACAAAGTCCTCTTACGGCTAAACTAAGAGAAAAGCGAAAGTCATAGACAAGGGTGTTCATTGTTCGCCCGAAAGACACCCAAACATACACTATAGGAGAGAAACCCGACGGCCGACGACGTAAAAGCAGACACAAGCTCAGACGGTCGGACGATATGGAAGAATATATCAAAACTATGTATTGAAAAGTTGGCGATAGAAAACTATGAACGAAGTGATCTACACCGCAGCTATAAACACTTAGTTGATACTGTGTGTGGTATAGATAAGGAAGTATGAGGCAAGCACCAATTATCGACGTCAATTGATACAATTGCAATGGTTGAACATATATAAAGCTATATGTAAATAGGCTCTGTTATACGGAGCGGTTTCACTAAAGAATTTTATTGTAAAAAATATAGGAATAAAACTTGTTTATTAAAAGTTTTATTTAATATTTGCCAAGTTTGAATGAAATCGGTTACAGGAAAGTGCTCTAAATCGGATTCACCCGTAGTTTGCCACCCTTAGAGGTGGAATATTTTCAAGAAAATGAGACCAATACCGAGGTACGTACGTTTAGGGTTGCAACAAAAAAAATCATCAAAATCGGTTCACAAATGGATTAGTGGAGTAATCGCGTAACAAATACACAAAAAAAATACAGTCAAATTGAGAATCTTCCTTTTTTTGAAGTCGGTTAAAAGTGACTTCTAAACACTCAGAGAGGAAAAAGATATATTTAAAAATAATTATTGTTACCTAATATTAAATTAGCCCACTTAAATTTGACGCTCTCACAATATGTATTTAGATAATAGAAAAGTGCATTAGCCTCGTTAGCTAACGAGGCTTTTGTTGCAAAAGTCAGAAAAGACTACAGTGGCTGTACGTCTTTTTTTGTATAACTATTTGGTGTTTGGAAAGCAGTAATTCTCAGTACCTATTTTTATGTGGGCTATAAGTATTACGTATTATTAAATTACTTCTCATACTTCCTAACCATTTTGAAGTTTTTACATGCGCATTAAAGAAATATCTACTGAATGACTTTGTTTATTAAGGTACCTATAACTACAAAAACCCAACAGACATTCCCAGTGAATTTCAATTATTCTCACCATTATATAAAAAAAATTACGTTATTTGTAGCAGAATACCTTAACATTATTCATTCACAAACGATTACATAATAAAAATTAGTATAGAGTGTTGCATACAATGAAGTCTTATTTGCTTGGCTGGTCATGCACTTCTGTAATCGTGTGTGCATTTTGCGCCCACAACAAGTACAGAATATTATTTTTGTGATTATAATTTACCAGTACCAATAAAACACCAAAATATAGCAATGAATCAAATTACGTAATGACCTACGTTGAACTGGAACGGCATCAAAGCGTGATCATTACAACGAAGTTTTCTGTTACGAACTTCCGTATTATGAAAACGTTTTACTCTTTTCTAACAATAAGTTTACCTACTTTTGAAACGCACTTGGGCTGTCAGTCTACTTGGACTGACGATGATGTTTAAATTTCTAACAGTAATATTAAAAGAGTATATCAAAAACGCACCCGTCTGTCATTCCCTCCTTTGTGTACCAGAGTTAAAATTTTCAGAAAAACAATTTCTTAACAACGTACATTTCGTTCCAAGTAGATATAGGAGCTAGTGCATAATTTAATTTACAAAGACATCTTCAATTGACGAGTTATATTAAGCTGCACGTCACAGTTATTCTTTACGACCTTGGCAGAAGGTTACTTGTTAAACTTTTTGCTATATGAAAATTTGGTAACAAAAAATAATAAATAAAATGCAACACTGATGCTGCACTCAGAAGTAGGCAGCCGACTATAGTGACACAGAAAGGCACTACTGTAGTTCTGGTAAAGTGGAGAAAAGAAATTAACAGTAGCATAGTAATCAGTGACTTGTTCAATTATAAACGCTTTCACTATTTTTTGGTCAGTCAGACTGCGGCTCTCGTTTTTTTGTGGACATAGAATGTAGATACAGTACCTATTCGGTAGCGTCTTTCGTATTAATTGACTGTTTTTTATTGTTACATAGAGAAGTTTGCTTGAAGTGGATTAAGTGTTATAAATATACAAGCATTTACTGTGGTATTAGTAATTAGAAGATTTTTATCACCCAACTTTTCAGCTGAAAAGTACGTGAACAGAAAGCTTGACTAATGTCAACATTTCAACATTAAACGTATCAAAACAAAATTGCTCCTTAAATCAAAACATGTATTTACCTTACTTAATATAACATTTACTAATGTAATGAACCAAGTATCACGCCGTTATATGACGACAATATTCTTCTATATTAATCCTTTGTCCTTTTAATGGCAATACTTACCGCAATCTTACACACAATTATATCACAAACATCGAGTCCAATACAATAAATTAAATTGAGCAACTTAAAACACAACTTGGTAACATTCCCAAGCAAATCATCACAATTTTATATCAAAAAGTATTCTGGACCTACATAGGAACCACATTTTGGAAAATCTGAGGGAGGCGGTACAAAGTCACTGTCTTCTCCTACTTTTAATACAAAATCAAGACCTCTAGTCCAGTGCGATGACCTTTCATCCCTCATCATCCAATATCCTGGATTATCAGCCTTGAATCTCAAAGCTACGGCTCCGAACTTAGGTATGGCTATAGTGTCTTTAATTACAGGATTGATTAGGTTTTTAGAAGGGAATAATTTGCCTTCCTCGTTCATCTTCACGATATCTTCTTTTTCTAAACTGCTGTTCAACTCTCTGATGCCAACGACGTGGAAACTGTATCCATGAAGGTGGAAGATGTGGTCCGATTCTCCACCTGTGACAATAGTAAACATATGAATATAAAGAGGTATCATAACTAACATGAAGCTAGAAATGTAATTGTTATGAGAACCATATCGTTACACTGATTGATTAATTAAGAGCTTCTATAGTAAACATGTAAGCAGGAATGTTTGTAAAATACTAACAACCTTGCAGGACTATATTAGTCTTCTTAAGGTGGTTGCAAAGAGAATGAACATCCCAACCCTCAAGTACTGGAAGTCCATCCTTGTTCATGAAAATGAACACCGCATTCTATTAAGGTAATTGTAAGTACCTACTAACACTATATGAACATGTAACATTTGGTATGTCTGAAATAAATTCTTTCATTTCATTTCATTTTATTTCCTTTCATTACTGACGTCATAAACAACAACTTTTTGTTCTTTGACTTTTACAAACTATTAAGCTTAGACTTTTAAGTTTTTGTTATACTGACACTTTTTAAATACGTATTTGGTAGTAACATAGTAAGTCCAAACGTGCAAGCGTCGTCTCCGACAACCCTCCTGAATTTTGGATTGGACTGGTTATGCTCGAGCTTTCGTTACTGCACAGACTAATCGCCTTTTAAAGCGATCTAATTTAAAAATTATTTTTTTTAGTAAGTGAAATCTGATGTATTTTTAAAAGTCACATAACAAAAGTTGTTGTTTATGATATAGTTTATGAATATATATAAAATAGTCTTGCGGGGTTGTTAGTATTTTACAAATAACCCTGTATATGTGTACGCGTAACTTACTGATTATTATAATCTTTTTTATTAATAATAATTTATTTATTCTGTTCCATAGTGAATCTTAAATCTTAGTACAGACGCCAGCACATCAAGCTACACATTGACGTATCTTGTTAAGTTGCACTGGATGCGATTTTCGAACAAAAATGCGTAATCTGACACATAAAATATGGTGTATCATTTTTATTATGGAAGACTGCGGAACAAACTTTAAACCAAGAAACAAAACCCAAACCAAAACTCTGTGGTAAAGTTATAACTTCTACCAAAACAATTAAATTTAACATAAAAATCATTCCAACTTATTTATGAAAGGTTTCTTGTGTAATTTGTAATTTTATAACATTGCTTACATAGTTTCCTCGTTTATTAAATAAATAATCTTAGCTTTTCACATAGCCTTTACAGAATATAACATTAAATGGTGTCAAGCACGTACGTAACAAGTTACTAATTATACTACATACTTAATGCTATATGACGATGGTCTATTTATGGTCTATGTAAATGCTTCAAATGGCACACAATAGACGTGCGCTACATATTGTAGAAACACTATATAACTTTTGGAGTTTAATGACATGCTATGTGACACACAGGCACTTATTATACCCCCGCCAGGGAAGCGAGTTTAAATTGCTTTGTTTTATTTGCCTTATAAAATATCAATCGGTATTACGTAGTGCACCATGCCAATTATAGGTAATTAAGTACGAGTAAAAGAAACAATTTTTATTTTACCAATGTGTTTAACAATTAAAAATATATATGTATGGTGTTTAGCAGTAATAATTGTTTACGTCATATAGTCAACAATTAATAAATTAATAAAGATGTGTAGGTATAGTCCAATAAATAGGCATTCATTAATAAAGTGTTTTATAAAAAAAAAGATCTGAAACGTGTTTGTTGAATTCCATGTATTTGCCAAGTTTTATTGTAATCGGTTAACGGAAAGTGGGTGAAATCCAATAAACCGGATTCATACCCTAACTTGCCACTCTTAGAGGTGGAATATTTGGGACCACTACTCAGGTACCTAAGTTCCAATAAAAAAAGAATCTTCGAAATCGGTTCACAAATGTCGGAGTAATCGAATAATATACACACAAAAAAATATAGTTGTATTGAGAAACCCCACCTTTTTTGAACTCGGTTAAAAATAAATTAGTGATCCAAATATTCACTCCGCTAGAGTAAAGATCGCAGACTCAGCAAAATGCCAATGCTAATACTGGAAATCAATTATGCCTACAAAACAACTTAACTAGTAAAAATAAATCGGTTCGGCTCCAAGACGACCGCGACGTAATCCAGTATTAATTTCTTCTAATATCCGCCATTGTTGTATGTTTTATTAATACTTTGTAATATAAATATCGTGTTCCAACTAGTACTTTAATAACGTTTTGTCTTCAACAAAAGAACTACGAGTATTTTACGCAAACTTTTGCCACAGCGTTACAAGTGCCTTTACTATTAGATAACTCGTGTCAAACCGTGCTTTGTAATATTCAAGTCTGTGCAACATGAATACTCTATCTCATAGTTTCCCAAAATGGTCCCTACTACCCCCCAGGGCGCAGAAGAGTCACAGGGGGCGCGGTAGGGGCTTTGGACGCAATTGGGGAGCGTTGATGTTGTCCGGGAGCGCACAGACATATATCTAGATAGACGCCGCAAGTGTACGTACTTCGCGTGCCCACAGTAAGTGTAATTCACTAACTTGCAGCTGCTACTTCAGAACGCTCTCGACCGTTATCGTAAATAAACACCAGTCGAAAACGCGAAAAATACACAATTGTACCATTATAAACTGCAAAAGCACCATAACTATGGGTAAACGGGTAAACAAGGACGTTTCCTTCCACGGACAAGTGATTTTGTAATCAGAAGAAGCATAATTTATTTTAAAAACAATTATTTTACTTTTGTGTGAATTTCGAGAAAACAAATACTTATGCAACCGAGTGTTCGCCTCGGTTGTATTTGTAATACATTGCGGCTCTTACTTGGTGCGATATATTTGTGATGCTTTGTTAATACACCATGAATATCGAACGAACGCACTTTGTATAATGTAAAATTGTAAAAATTGTAAAATTTAACATTTAGTGATGTAGTTAGATGTTTAGTAGGCAACACTATTCTCGATTCTGATCGATTTTGAATACAATGTGACGAAAATTATTATGACCTTGGCAATATTAATATTCTATAACTCTTTTGTTATAACGTTTAGTAACGTTTCGTCTTTTTTTTTCAGTTTTGTAGTATCGATTATCGGTAGTATCTGTAATTTCGATAATTTTTGCAGCACGTTGCCTCGAATGTCCGAATATAGAGAGCAAATAATTACATACGTCGCCGGATATGTAGTACAAGTAATACAAAAAATACACAATGCAAAAAATTAACAGTGCGCTGTCTTTACAAAAACCTGGAGTTGGTCATACGTATAAGTTCGTTGCTTTCGAGGACGAAGGTGGTCTAGTTTATCCCACCTAAGATGCTATTCAAATATGCAGAGTAGCAAAGTTAGAAATCCGAGAAATAATAAACAAATCACAAAAATTTCACACGAGGCCGTCATTAAGTAAACCTCTTCTGATTAATAAGATTTTACCATATTTTGTCAGCAGTAACATTTTAATTTGTCTTGCCATTCATCAATTTGATCAATTACCAACAGAAAACAATCTAGTAAAATTAATTAAGGCATTCGCAAGTTTACGTGCGTTTTCATTATTTAAGTTAATCGATAAGATCTTCTATTACAAAAAGATGTTATATAATAAACTTATTTTATTGGAATGATAATAATTTTAATATTTGAAGTCGATTAAAAATTAAAGTCCTAATTTTTTTAAGTAATCAACTTTTTTTTAAACAAATATAATAAAGGACTTAACTATCTTATTCTAGTATTTTTCTACTATATTAATATTAAGACTACTTGTAATCAACAAATACTTGAACAAAAATTATTTTATTTAGAATCGATTAATTAAATGGAATACGTGTATTTACGCGTATTCCGTCCAATCAATCGATTTAGAGCGAGGGGGAGAAATTTTCTTGTGACTTTTTGTGTTAAGTTAATAATACAAAAAATACATAGTTACTTAACTTCTTACGCACAAAGCGAAGTCTAATGACCCTCAAAACTTGTGTAAAGACCGTATGAATAGTACTAACCAGTCTAATGGCAAGATTAAGGCAATCAAGCGGCAACCTCGCACTATTATGACGTAATTCTGACACGCAAAGCATTTTCTATTGCAAACCTTGCGATCTGTTTTCTTACTAGAACTTCGACTTGGTTGTAATCGTATGCTCTGAGAATGTATCCCATTTCTTAAAGTTGTAACTTGGCTGTAATTTAATACAATGCTTGTAAGTTATATTCAATAGATTTATTTGCCCATCATCCACCAAAGCGGGGCATTAAAGAGCTATATTTCAGCAACCAATACCTAGTACCCATTTCTTTCGTAATAATAATAATGCACCAAATAATCGCACTAACCACCTGGTCTCAGACTAGAAAGTTCCCTGTACTATGACCACCAGAACACCCACACCAGAAACAATATAAAAAAGTTTCCTCGATTGGTCTTACCGATTATCGGACCCAGGACAGGAGCCCATAGTGCGAACCGCTACCGACGTTGTTACCGAGGTACTCCACATTACCACAATCATTTAAACATATCAAGTTCTTATGCTTTTGCGATTGCTATACATTCAAAGTGAAAAATGGTCACCACTGAATGGTCATTAAGCAGTGACCATGAGTCCTGTAAAGAGCCCGAAACTTTGGTTTGTTTGAAATAAATCCCAGATTTAGATTCTATAAAGCAGTTATGGCTTAAGACATTTATTTCTCAAAACAGTATACAAAAATTCACTTACAATGAGAAATACGAGACAAGCTTACAAAAATAACGAACATCGGAACCATTACATAAATATATCAGAACATATTCAAATTTACACAATGCTATTGTGTAAATGTGAATATGTTCTATTATAGTTACATTTCCGAAATTTAAAATATAAAATTTTATATAATATAATTAATATAGTAACAATCACAGATAGTAACAATGATGTGTATATGAACACATACCTACCCATATAACGCGTTGCGCTTCCTAAAAGACAACCACTATTCGATAACGAGCATCTTGCGAAGACGATTGTTTTATTTAAATATATCTCATGGAAACAATCTAAAAGTGCCAAATGGACCACTCCTTTGGTTTTATTTTTCAACTAAATCAACATGTATATCTAATACCACTACCAACTGAAATTGTAACTCTTAATTACAATTCTTACAATCTTAGAAAGTTCCTTTGAAAATTATTATGAGCCATTCGAAGATTATGATTGCACCTCGTTGCATGGCATTAGCTTTATAATAAATCTATGTCCTAGATGCATGTATGCCCGTTTGAGTATGTGCGATTGCATTCATTTTCTTTGTCTAGTGCGGGCGTAAGTCACATTAAGTCACGTATTGCGTTTCACTCTAAAGATGCAAATCGTGCAGCAATAAAATATGCGTGTCATCTATCATTATATCAGTTTTCTCTAGCACTAGCACAAGCTTTAGTTTGAGAAGTGTCAATCAATACTAGAATAAGTATTAAAATATCTTCCTACAGCCGTCAAGTTCGCATTACGTAATTCTAGAGAATTTGCAAAGTCCGTACATGGTCTGGTCAATGTAAATGCTATTAGAAAAGGCAAACTTCCTACAATAAAAAACTTAAACTTCGTGCTTCGGCAAAGTCACCATACTAACAATCGTAAGTACCACTCGTACTTTATGGTAGGTTTCTTTACATAAACTAGCCATTTCCTTGCGATTGTGAAATATGGCTTAGAATTTACGCAAAAACACCTTTCTTATTTGGCAATGCATATTGACAATATATCTAAAAAACTTTCCGTCGGAATAGAGTATTAGGAAAACAAGTGTCGTTTCCAGCTTTCTAAGCAAGCTGTTAACTTTGAAGTCGTAAACGCAGAGAAATAAAGCTGCGAACTTAATAATATAATTATTATGACAGCAAAAATAGTGTTGTAAATGGAAAATACTTGTTAATCTATGGACCTATCGAGTTCTTAGGCTTTTGTCATTGATATGCATTTGAAATGAAACTAATACGTACACCGTACACGTCGCCACAGCTGATGGCAAGCGATGTGACCTGTACAGGGCCCGAAACGTTGGTTTGTTTGAAAAAACTAATTTACGCAATTTAAATCCGGAAAAATAGTATTATTTCCAATAACCTATTAACTATCAAATATCACTTCTGATTGTACTCAATCTGGATTCCTTGTTGTAAATTCTAAAATTCGGACTTAAAATAGTCCTTACAATTTCTTCAGATGTTTTACATAAAATGCCTTTTTAATTATTTTTTTCATTCCTATATAAGGCACTAATAAAGTATATCATAAATACATTGAAATCTAGCCAAATAGAAGACTAATACGTAATTTACATTTCACTTAATCTAATAAATAAACATGGCCATGTCATGAGCTAATGTATTTCTAGCCCACTGTTTATTCATGTACTAATGAGAACCATTAGCGAAATGCCTTCCGACTTGATTGACAACAAATAATACAACCTAAACGGTAAACTTCAAAGACCACTATTAGCAACAATTTGTTCTCTATTATGGATTATACTACTTGTAGAGGATGTTTAAATTATAAACAAAGTACCTCCAATCTTACTAATTTCGTTCCGTTCATGGACAGTAACAGCGTTTACTAAAATTAACTATCAGAATATGATAGTACAGGATGTCCCTGTTTCGCTATATGGATCTTAAAAAAATAAACCTACGAACCTTACAGCGCGATTTCCTAGTGCTTTCTTTGGAGTTGCCGCTTACTACTTCTCCATGGAGACATTTCAACGACATACTGACAAAATTGTATGATTTACGTTGAACATTTTATATTGAATCAATATAAGCACCACGGCGTAAAGAAAAGTAGTGACTTTTGTACGCAGCACTGTATAAACAGATCTAAGAAAACCCACTTACGTCAAAATAGCAAAATAACAAACGTTATAAAGTTCGACGACATCAGTCGCCTAACGGTTTACTTTGTGGGTGTTGGATGCGGCGGCCCCAGGTTCAATTCCGGGTAGGACCAATTTGGAAATGACTTTTTCTAAACTGGTTCTGGTAATTAATAGATTCAGGTCTTACTTTGCAGAAGTCCATGTTAACAAAAAATAATGTGCTACTCCACGAACGCGGTGAAGCTTAAATCGTGTAAAGTTGAATATTTTTTCACGCAGTTTATTTTCCCGTCCTCTCTCCGCATAATATTAATAAAATAAATGACACAAGCATTACATTACAAACATAATTACAGTCACAGTCACCACCACCAGAAATATACCCGACATTGTGTTTCACTTCTCTAGGCATCCTCAGGGGTTGTTGATTGTATATTGCTGGACGCTCGGCCGAAGAATAAACTTGCTCTTTTTTTGACACTGACACTTTGCAGTTGGCCGCAGATAGCCCTGACTGCGCCAACGGGTGAAAAACGAGCTGAAGGCTCTTAACCCATAATTGTTCATAGATCAACGTCTATTGTTGTACTTAATTATTTCCATCTGTACTAGAACACTCAGACGTAGTCCTTTTTCGCAAAAATTTAAGATTTCATAATCATCTAGTAAACTATGATTTGTTTCTAATAAATGTTAAGCGAAATTGGACCTACTGGTTGCTAATGCCTAAACGAAGAAACATTCTCTTTATATGTAATTGTAAAGTTACGCCCTGATTAACCTATATTTACACTGTTTCACGTGTCACAGGTGAGCTTTAAACTCCCGACTTCTTTCCACTTTCCACACCTTCTTTGCCATTGCGAACTCTAGAGCGCAAAGTGTTATTTGTCTTAAAAGCAACATTTATGTTATTAAATTTCAAAATTTTATAATTTTTTTTCTGACATTTGGCCAACATAAGTAATATTTTTTTTATACTTATTTATTTAGGAACTTTTATACAATGTATATATTCCAGTTCCATCGTACCCTAAAGTATAGCTTACACGTCTGGGCGGCGCTATTGATTCAACAAATAGTAATAGTCTTTATGCCTGTTTCGAGTGGCGCTTGCTTAATATAGAATTTATAGCACCTAAGGATGTTCAGTTGATCTGCAGGTCTCTCATCAACGCCGCCCTCTGTTGTTCGTACTGGACACAGTCCACTAACAAATGATATGCACATTCCATAAATAATGCTTGCTTTATATTTATTAATAGGCTGTGAAAGGACTGCAGCATACATTATTATGTTGTTGACTATCCGCCTCTGTTTCTTGCGAACTAAACTGTTAATCAATGTTTTACTATAACCATTAGAAAGTGCAATCTGATATATAATATTATAATAATAAAAATTAAAAATAAAACATTAAAAACAAAATTTTAAAAATTATCTCTAAATTATGTTCTCTATAGAGAGGTATTGTCAACAACCTTTGTATGCCTATAACAATTAAAAGCAGCCATTTTATGCTGCCTGTAGGGCTAGCACGATAAGACGCGACTAAACTGAGAGCGACATAAAGCGCGACATACCGCTATTCTTGCATAGAGATCGCGCGTTATGTCGCTCTCGCTCAAGTCGCGTCCCGTCGTGCAAGCCCTACTGGGGTGACAAGAAAAAATCGGGATAACTGTATCAATATGCGTAGGCTTAATGTAAATTTTGAAATCATGTCTTAGTACAAGGAATTCCCTAGTTTGAGACCAGGCCATTGGTGTGATTGTCTGTCACAAAAAGTAACTAAGAATACCTACACATAAACTATAATATATTATACTACATATAAATCTTTACCATTTTAATTTCTCGTTTTCAAATATTTGTTATTATTGGAGTAATCGAGATCCAAGAAAATCGTTACCGATTTTCTATTCAAAGCACTATTCATTCACATAGAGAGTTTACTCTTACCTTGATCAAACATAATAAGCTCCACAGTAGAACCTAGAGGAATTTTCTTGATGTGGACACATTCCTCACCATGACCAGGCTCAGAGCATAACGAATCTGGAGTGATATCAGCTCCTTGCGTGAGTAACGGTGAAGCAGGGTACGTGAAGCGATTTCCGTCCGTTTGGCCCCAACTTTCTGTATGGACAAGAAGACAATAGCGTCAGTATTAAATACAATAAAGTATAAATATAAATAATTGTGTTATTCATGTATTTTTACGTTTATTGTGATGCATAATTTTATTCGCACAACATAAATATTTTTAGATAAATTAAACACAAATATAAATAATCATTATATTAGAACCATATACCATAGAAGAGCTAGCTAGACGATCAGTATCGGTTGCATCATTCAAACTCGATGTTCAAACGCAAATTGAAACAGCACATCTTATTGAACTTTAAAGTTCAAGAAGAAGTCAGTAACATAAATATAAACTAATAGTTTGTGTAGATTATTTTAAAAGCGAATGTCTGGCTTATGCTGACGACGTTAAAATTTTCAGACGTATACATGATACAGCGGACTGTCAGCTTCTTCAGGGTGATATAGACAAAATTGTAGATTGGTGCGACCTGAACCTCATGACACTTAATACGAAAAAATGTCAAATTATTACTTTTACCAAGAAAAAACATCCAATTTTATTTAACTATAAAATAAAGGGATTAATTATAGAACGTGTTACAAAAATAAGAGACCTTGAAGTAATCTTCGATTCGTATCTATGGTTTAGGCCCCACTACGATTACATATGCCGCAAAGCAAACAGACAATTGTCTTTCATTTTCCGGAATGCCAGACACTTCATAAATCCCAAGTCTTGGATAATTTTGTACACCTCTTTGGTTAGAAGCGTTCTCGAATACTGTTCACCAGTTTGGAAACCAATATATAGTGTGCACACGGATCGTATTGAGGCAATTCAACGTCGTTTTCTGAGAGTCCTAAGTAGCAGGTGTGGTTTGAGGCGTCGATTGCCAGAATACAATGACAGACTGCAATAGTTTGGCCTACTAAGCCTGGAAAATAGGATGTGGTTGTCCGACCTATGTTGTCTCCACAAAATAGTAGGTGGTTTTTTTGACACTTATCTCCTTGAACAAATTAATATTAAAGTTCCTTGTAAATATATGCGTATACCACAGCTTTTTCCACTGCCACTCACTACTAATAATGTTGCAAAAAATAATCCTATTATAAGAATGTGTCGTTGCAATAATGAAATATGTGCTGAGCACGTTATATTTAATTGTCATATTGTAACTTTCAAATCAAAATTACTTACTCATATGTGACCATAATTATTAGTTTCATTAATTTTTGTTTTAGTTTTTTTTTGTTATCTTATTATTCTATCTATTTGTCTTTATTGTAAAATCCGCTAGACATAGTTTAATATTTTATTAGTTAAATATAATATGTACGTAAGTATATTTCCGCTATTCGTAACATTATCTTTTTTGTTTACCGAACGCTGTGTATAGTTGTAATTGAGTATCAGTGTTACAGTGCTGTTCTAGAATATTTTTGTATTATGCTGTATCTGATGTCTGTAACTGTTCCAATAAAATAAAATTAAAAAAAATTATAATTATATTATATTGTGTATGTACGTATTTATCATCACATCAAGCTACACATTAACGTATCTTGCTCCGTTGCACTGGAGGCGATTTTCGAACAAAAATGTATAGTCTGGTGTGCCGTTGTCCGTATGTAAAGTTTAAAATGTACGTGTACCCATATTTCAGTCATATTTATTTTGTCATCATCATCATTTATATTTATCATTTAATTTTTTATAAATTTATTATACAAGGCTCGCTGACTTTCTTTATTCACCACGGCCAGTATTGGCTGGAAGAAATCTCTTCTAGAGATGAACTCACCTTTGTATAGGGCCTTCGTAACTTGTATCACATAATGTGTTTTATTCGTCGTCTTTTCTTTTAACTGCCTCCGTGACCGAACAGTTACCATGTTGAACTGCCACGCAGAGGTCCCGGGTTCAATACCCGGGCCGAGAGAAATATTTGTATAACTTATATTTATTTCTCTCGTGATTTTGGATGTAATTTGTGGTTGTCTTGTAAAAACGATTTATTATTATTATCATAAACTACGCCCAAATGTAATCATTAAAATTTGCATGCTGAAATGAATAGCGCCAACAATAAGCATTATTTAGTTATATAGTTCTTATTTAGTTTAGTTATATAATTACCAAATTCAAACTGAACGGAAGAAAGATTATTTTGTTTCATTCGAGCAATTCATCAATCATTGTTGTAAGTTCCTACTAAATATCGATCGAAAATACTCATACGGTAACAACAGTGGCAGAACTGGGTAGACATAGCAACACCGTTCTACTTTCGCCTCACAAGCTTTAATGAAATAAAGCGGCCTATTATAAATACTTTGCTGCGTCATTATTTTTAAAACGACGCTTTTTCTTTTGTACAGTAAGAAATGGGTTTTGAGTAAAAATTTTCTATCCTCCTGACCAACGTTTCCATTACATCTATTCACTTTTATAAACCAATACGAAATATCTTCACGTTATCCTAAACCATGATTAATGTACAGTCAACAGCACGTCAAACTAGACATTGACGTATCTTGTTCCGTCGCACTGGAGGCGATTTTCGAACAAAAATGTGTAGTCTGATGCGCTGTTGTCCGTACAATATAGAGAAAACACGGACTTGTAGGGTTTTTTTAAAATAGAGAACTACGAATGCAAAAATTCGACTTTAATACGTGACTTATCTGTTAAGTGTCGGCTTCTGTGAGCCACGCTCTGGATCTTATCTGGTGCAACAGTTTTGCATTGTTGATTTTTTAAGTAATGAAGCCTTTTGCTGAGTTATATTTGTGTCTACCTGAAGAAGCCTACGTTGCGGATTGACATTTGTTTCACAACTAATTCTTAGTCTTTAAGAAATATGTCGTGAACCTTCAATTAAAGTAGAATTTTTGTGATATGACCATAGCATAACAGGTAGTCTCGGAAATAAGGAGACAGAATTCTTCTCAATTCAAATAGTTATGGTTTTCAAACCTTAAAGAAAAATTGCATTAATTCAATACTTTGTAGAAGTGAGAGTTAGTTATACGTTCTAATGTCGATATGATTCTAAAACAATATAAGGAAATTGAAAAAGGAACATAATTTTACGGAAATATATATAACTTCGGCTAGGATTACGGAACATAAATAGCTAGTGTAGCTGGAATTAAGTGCCAAGCCATAGGCAAACAGGCTTAATGGATTTTTTTACCCTAAAACACTTACTAGACGTGGAGTAGAAAAGGTTGCCGAAAAGATTTCTACAAAATGATTTTTTTTGGTATAAAATTGAGTATTTTTTAAACAAAGTAACGTTTTGGACTCTGTACAGGTCGTATGGCTCACGGCTAAACGTCCACCACGCAGAGGTCCCGGAATCGATTCCCGGGCCGGGAGAAATATTTGTGTGGTCTACATTTATTTCTCTTGTCAGTTGGGATGCAATTTGTGGTTGTGTGTATCCACGGCACCCGCGATACAGGGTTTCCCTAGTACGGGGCTACGAGTGTGTGCGTGTGTGTGTTATATGTAAAGATTTATAAATAAATTATATAAATTTTAAAAACTGTTAATTCTGAATAGTGCAGCTCCGCTCAGGGCTTTAAATTGCAAAGATATGAGGGACACTGGTGCGCCCGTCACCCCGAGACATAAGTTGACAAGTCCCATGTGCCTGTAGTTAAGTAGTACCAGCACTTTTAAACCGGAACGCAGTAACGCTCACGTTTCTGCTTAGCAGCAGAAATAGTTAAGGTGGCAGTATTCCCTGACCGAACGCTTTTACAAGGAGCTCTACTGCTACTATATTATTCATTTCCGAGGGTTCAACGCATTTTGATATTATGTTTAGATAATATATAAAAAATGTTTCATTCTCTTCATACACGCACTTCATAGCAAGGAGAATGTATTATGCATACTAGCCCGTCATGAAAACATCCCTTACGCATGTAGGTAACGTTACAGAACATTTGGAGACTACAAAGATAAAGTGCCTTTTCGACCGTCGTGGCGTTGAAAGATTTTAAAACAAAATACATAACATGTTAAAATTATTTTACTTTAATACGAGACTCTTTCTAGTTATCTAAACATACATATTTTGTCTCTGTACTTCTGTAAGAAACTTTATGCAATCCTACATTGCTCCAGTTTTAGTGCTAAGTTGTTAATAATAACAACCGTCAAAAAGCGTGCAAGTCGTGCGCCTGGTGTTAAGCAACACACCTGTACATAACAGTTGCAGTGCCATTCAGAGCTTTAAATCGCAAAGATCTTAAGGGCATTAAAATAGTCACTAATATTTTTTTTTTATAATTAGTCCAACAATAGTTCCAAAGTAAAGAGGAGGATGTTCAGAGAAAGACTTTAAGACCAAATGTTTAGAGACAAAAGCTTTCATGTCCCCATAAAAATTTTTGTTGTATTTTGAAAGACGGAACCTCACTCAACGGTGTAAACGTAATTCCTTTTTGTGTGCTCCCTTTTCGTTATATGGTCCAAAACAATTTATTTTATTTGTTTTTCTTTTCATTTCTGTTTTTACGTAAATAGTGAAATGTCTTCGCATCATATTTCATGACAAAAGGTGCTTAAATGTGCAAATAATAGAATCTCACTTTACACCTTAAAAGTAAAAAAGCTAGAAAGTACCTTCTTCAAAGCCGATATTTATTTGTCAATAGCAGCAATCAATGAACTAGAAGAGAATTATTCCTGAACGCTAATGATAACTATTCCCCAGGGATTAAATTGGCAGCTATTGGACATAAATTATATTTACAAATGAGAAAATACGATAGCAGCTCTTATACAAATTGCTAATTGTTGCCGAGTCAGGCTAGTAGGTATGCAAAAAACTTCCTCCTTGAAGAGAATCACACAATTCTTTATACGTTTTCTAAACAAAACATCAAAATGCATGAAACCCTCGGAAATAAAAGGCTAGGCCTAGTTCCCACTATGCCGGAACGGTGAATTTGCCGGGAAACCGGCGTTCGGAGGCGTTCACATTAAGCCGGATCTCTCGAGAAAAACGGAGACTAAAGTCCTCACT